TAAAACGCGGTAAAACGTCATCGCCGACTCGTGTCGCGACAGGATTGGTCGAATCTGGACCAATAGTAGACGAGCAGCCGAATTACTTATACCCTACGGAGAGTTTAGTAGTTGATAGCAAGTTGAGTTTACTATCGTCTGTACAATATTAACTTAATTTATTTTAACTTTATTATAATTATATATTTACTTTCCTGCCATCCAGCGCCACGCTACAGAGAGTTTAAACGAGGAAGTTGAGTTTACTATCGTCTGTACAGTATGTAAATTAGGTACCGTAAGTCTAATACAGCACTGTAATTTTATACATTTCTTGTGAAAGAAACATTTCTTATTCAACGGCCATAAAAATTATTTCTATTAATGATGTCTCCAAAGTTCAACGAATTTTTCGCAGAAAAATAACTTATCAGAAATCGTGACCGCCGTTTGGTGCGCTGTTCCGCGACGAAAACAAGCTTGAGCAATGGCAATGTCGAACGGTGCACCCTCGGTAAGTGAGCCTACAATTTTTTGTTTATAGCATAGTTTATACGGATTATTTCCAAAGAATTATACGTAATTTGGAAATGTTGAGTCAAATTATTCTAGAATCGGTTAATTTTATGGAAGAAAACCTTTCAAACAGCTGTAGTCCGTAAATTGCACACGTGTAGGGCTGCGATAGGCTCATGTATTTAAGGATTCCTACAACGCGAAATTCGTATAAAGAGGAACGTATCTACCGCGTTATAGGGGGGTTGACTGTATATCACACTCTTGTAATCTGAAAGATATTTTTTACTGCTGTTTGGATAGTCCAGGCCAGATTGCTAGTTAGTATTGCACGTCTTATTACCCATGATAATTTCTGATAAAGATGGCTATTCGTTGGGATTTTTATGGGTAATTTCGATCAAATACATCACTTCTTTAATATGCAATCACTTTATTGTGGGTTTGCTAAACTTATGATGTACGCGAAGAAAGCCATGTCAGTGCCCACAGAAGTTTATTGAGCTAGAAAACAATTAATTTAATGTAAATTGTTTTATTAATTCGTATAATATATATATATGTTACTGTGAATGACCGATATCTGGCGAATGTCAACATTCTCCGGTGAATGTCAGCATTCACACAGTCGTTTCGTGTATGTACGAAATATTTGCTAAATACATATTATTGTTTCTCACTTACACCGGCTAATGTCGACATTCAGCATGCACTGATGGTGAACGTTGAATAAAAATATTTATATTACGTTAAGACAAAAATGCAGCTTTTTAATATGTCAAAATAGGAGAAAGCAGTAACAGCGCATGTAAATAAACTGTTGAACCTAAAACGAACAGTACATTCTTAATCAGAAAAGAAAATAATACAATAATAAACTTACACATAAATTATGTGATTAAGGTTACACAATCTTATTTATTGCAACAACTTAATCTGTTGTGGCACTTCGAATTCCACAAGAGTACCTTGCTTTTACAACTGCATTTATTCGTAGAACACTTCTTTTTGCAATGACAGCGTGCATAGCCTTGCCCCCTCCCACTTTTCGAATTAGCTGTAGATGCTTCTCTCAGCGATATTTCTTGAGAAGAAATCTCATCTTTGGAAAGTAATTTTCTTTACAAATTACGAACTGAATACATTATTACGTGATTACGAACTGATCTGTTAATGGTGTCTTTTATTCGGATATCGACGACGCCTTACTAACGACCCCTCTCATCCTCCGCTACTCGACCTGACTAACCGATCACACTTCACGCAATCAAAAGAACAAAAACACCATCCAGTGACAAATTGGGCGATTTTCACCAAACCGTTGCCGGGAAAAGAGGTACGACCTTGTCCTACCTCAGACTACCCACAAAGGATTTGGCGACAGATTGTCGGTTCTCTGTTGACATCGGCCTTTCGGGTGTCGTTTCTACTTTCTCCAAAGCTTATCTGTGCTTGTCGACATACACCGGCGATTGTTCGAATGTATAATAATATAACCAAATATTCGGTCTTTTACTGACATATTTTGTATGTGTCGACATTCACCGGAGAATATCGACATTCTCTAATTTCGATCTTTCACAGTAACATATATATATATTTTTGTAGTCTGTTGTATCGGCTTCATCGGAAGCTGATATGATTACTCTATGGCGAAATCACGAAAATCAACTTAGTATTTATTCTTCGAATGTTGGATCAAAGAAAACTAAAGTTGTTTCAAAGGGTAAATAGATATTTATCTTTTATTAATTTTCAATTATGATTGTAGTGGAAATCTCATGCGTATTTTTAAAAGTAGAAACCGGAGGAACAGAAGAAGTCGATAATTTAGAAGAGAATAAATTATGTTTAAACGATGAACAAATACTTCGACTGGGAAAAATTGGAATTTTGGTAAAATAGTCACATAATTAAACAAATTAAATTCAATAATTTCACAAATATTGGATTCTGTTTTAATGAAGTAGGGATAAGAGTAGAATGTAACATTGACAATGAATATCTGATAATGATTTCTTAATGTATTAAGCTTTTTACTTATTACATATAAAATAACATAGAATAAAAAATAAATTTTGAAATATTCATAAACATTTTATTTTTATTTTTTACAGGTCGAAGAATACTTTGGAAGTTTAAGAGATATTGAATGGGCCATTTATGGAAATGATATTTATCTTTTGCAGGTAATTATGACGTCAATAATAACACAGTCAACCCTCTGAACAACGCAACACGAAAAATGGCAGTTATTTCATATGCAATTTTTTTCAACGTTCCTGAAAAAGTAGCCGCTATTGGAAGTAGCGAAGAGAAATGATAGTGCTATGATGCACAATTGCGTGCGAATTTACTAGTGAAGCAGAAACTAATTTTTTTATACAAATAAAAACATAATCACGTTCCTGGGTACGCGATATTTGCTCCTAACGATGGCTAATTAAGAAAAGGGATCGCAGTATGATTCTGAATCAGATCGTAAAATAGGAAAGTCGTAAAGCAGGAACTACCTGAATAAATTAGCTGAAATTTATGCATCTTACTATTAAAGTAATAAAGAAAATGATTTTTGTAGTTTAATGAGGGACGACAACCAACGTGTAATGAAATAATAGCAAAAATATAAAGCAATGAAAACTCTCATTGAAAATCTTTTAGCGGAGATTCATTTATTTGGCATGTCTTTAAAATATTCGCACACATTTTAAAATAATTGTTTGATGAATAATATTTTAAGAAGGAAGAGTGACTGAATTGGATTCTACGAAATTTTCTCAAAAATTTTTAAACCAATTATTTTAAAATGATGTTTGAGATAAACAGATGCCATTTGTTAGCGAATTTATGCTTCTGCCCTAAAACGGCATTTTTTCCCTTGTCCATTTTGAGCTCAACCAAGCTCACAATGGGAGCAGCTTGATGGTGAGGCATGGGTATTACATATTCAGGAAACACCGCTCATGAAAAATTATTGTGTTTTGCATGTCTGGATTCAATCCTGGATCCCCTAGAGCTACAAATAGTTGCAGCCACTTGGTCGTAAACTGTTTGTAGGTTTATAATATTTATTACACATATCTCGTCTTAACTGATTATTTATTGTATTTTTATATTTTACACACAGACTCGACCAATTACATCTGTCGATAAAGATAACGATTCTTCTATCAGACACGAATTAGACGGACCTTGGAAAAGTGAATGCGAATATGTAACTAAAGCTAATATAGGGTAAGAAATCGTTTAAGTTTGTTATATGTCAGTAGTAATTAATTATATTACTACTTGTAAGTTTTATTTAAAAAAAACAATTTATAAAATTTAGTAAATTTGTGTAAGAAAACGAATACAGTATTTAATAAAATTAATTTCTAGTTTCAAGATAATCTTTGTCAGAAATTAAGAATATATGTAGTAAAAATTGTATGAAAATATTACTTAGAATTTGGCAATGATTTTTCTATACTTTTAAACAATTTTTATCTCATAAGTACTAAGAGAGTCTTTACGTGTGTTCATTCGGTCGGGCTTTAGGGGTATGACTGAATGTTTAAGTGAATAATTTACAAATACAATTTATCTAAAATCTAACATATTCTTCAGAGTATAGAGCATGTGCCATAACAGCTTCATTAATATAATTAGATTATAGTTGTCTCTGGGAAGATATTACCCGAAATTTCAGCCTGAAAAGGTAAACATCACTGATAAACTGCCTACTAATATATTCAAACATAAGTTGCTACAGAAAACAGAATTTCAAAATGCTGTACCTTAACTACAGATGGAAATTGTAAAAATCGCAAATAGTCGTCACTCGAGACACTTCAAGTATGTCAGCTGGATAGTTGAAATGATAAAAGTGTCAGCATGACACTCTGATACAGGATCTTGGATACTGTTATCCATTATAAATTTCTGTTTTTGATCCGCAGAGTTCGAGTCTGAATCAGGAACAAATTTTTTATGGATAACAATATTTAAGATCCTGTATATAGAGCGTGTACTTTACTATACAACTGCTCGCATTTTGGACCTAATACAAAAATATTGCGCCAAGTAAAAATTATGAAACCAGAAATGAAAGTCAAATTTTTTTTTCAGAATTCTCTTTGCACTATATATATATATATATATTTGTTTTTATTTCGACAGAGAAGTATTTCCCGGTGCTGTAACACCTCTTACATTTAGCACAATCATTAAAACCTTTGACATTTTTCGTGAGGTAAGCAAATATTAATTTGTATTACATTTAACATTATTTAATATTTATTATTATACCTTTTTAATCTAAATATTTGTTTTATTTTGGCACTTTGTACTTTATAGGCACAATGATCTTTCTTTATGTTTATCACAGATTCTCTCACGCATGCAATATGGTATGGTTTGTGATGATAGTTTGCATCCCATATATTTTAAACAGACAACTTATAAAAAGTTCTAAAATTCGGAGCATTACAACCTCAAAATGTTTTGGGGTTCGAGTTTGACTCGAATGGCTAGATCAGTGCTTTACATATTCAATTGAAACAGGTACAAGACCCGAGACGAATTGGTCCTGAAATGGGTTATCAAATAATGATCAGTATCATATTTTCATTTTCAAATTTTAACTAATGCCGCCGTTTTCGTAGCATTTTTAGTTAGAGTTAAAAAATAACCTATCATTTCTATCGTATATCATATATTATTTCTAAAATAGAAGGGCGAAAAATAAGATTTTAAAGAGGGCACATAGAAATGTAGTTATGCCATTGATACAAGTATTAAAATTCAATTCGCTTATTGTAATCAGAGTTTGATTATAGTTATCATCTACAGGTGAATATGCATTTTTAATTGTTTTCCGGTTCAACGTTTGATTGATAACAGTACTTTTTCTGAACAGTGGTGTAACCCCATGTACTTCTCGTGGTTATCTTTACGTGTTAATACTTAATTTTTAAACCAGTTAAACCAGTTTTCTATAAATGTTTTCTTGGCTGGTATCTCTTTTGGCACATCTCCCGTGTATTGGTTTTGCAAAAATTATATTGCAAATTAATTATAATATCAAAGATTTATTTATTACAATGATACTTTTTGAAATATTATCGAGTAATCTATACATACAAATTAATCATATATTTATACTAATATCAACTATTTATGCATTTTTACATTTCTTTAGAGAACGATGAAGAAAAGAGGGATAGTAAAAGAAGCAGTTTGCCCCTATTTCCCACGTCGCTTTGTACTTACTAATGCTCACGTAGTATTTAATTTAATAGATGTATGTATAAGACATAAAATTATTACCATTATTAATAAACAATAATCTGAATATAGTATGTAGTTTAATCTTTATACTTATATAATTACTTATAGAATAAGGAGCAATTATTTTATTGTGACATCGTCACAATGCCGGGCTGCAATATTTAATCATAACTTTAATTTATTTAATTTAAAATTCTGCCGTTTATCTGTTAATTCTTTTCGGGGAAAACGTTTTGAATTATAATACCGGAACTTTCCGTTTCCATCGGAAGTTCGTATATAGTTAATCGGGGCCTCTGCGCCTAATGTTTTTATATCTATTCTCAAAATTCATACATCTAACTGCGTTCTCGAGATTCAAGAATGACAGATAGATGAAAAGACGTTTGTGGGAATTTATAGGTCTACAAATTTTTCAAATTGCAGCCCCATGAAACACTTGTTCTAAAATAATGGAGAGACTTAAACATTTGAGTAATTAGTGATTTTATTTATTATTATAAGCAATATGTGCACTTTGTTTATTGTTTTATTCGTAAACTCTCTCTGGCATTGTTTTAATAAGAGTTTTTTCTCTTCATCTATGATTTTGCGCCAAGCATCAGATATTGCTATTTTTAATCATTCCACTGATGTATATTGCTTTTACTCTTATATACATTCCTTTGTAAGATATCAGAAAACACTCCCAAGTTGATTTTGTCATATGAATGGCTGCATTATCGAAATTAGAAAAACTTTCCTCCGAATGTTTCTGCAAATAGCATCAGATGCATATGTAATACTGTACTTGCTAATATCGTGCAGAATTAATAAGACAAGATAATAGTTAGATTTGTCATAACACCACATTGTAACACTTCCAACACCTTTCTGCTTTTTTGAGTGATTTAACAAGAAAATGAAGCTTAGTCAAAAAGAATAAATCGAAATAAAATACACCAAAACAAATACAAAAAATAAAGATTAAATTAATGGTACATATTTAAATGATATAGGATGATAATATTTTTGTAACTAATTTAAATATAAAAAGTAAATATATTTTACTTTGTTACTGACTACGAGATAAAATTCAAACTAATTTATTATCATTTACTAGCTTAACAGTAATTTAAATGACAATTTTTGTAAATATGTAAGGTTAAGAATTTATTTTTCCTAGCCTTATTGCTTTTTTGCTTTACGTCTAATTTATTTTAATTTCATATAATAAGTATTTATTATTATTATTTTTTTTGTATCGTGCCAATAGCTTCTTCAGCGGTCTGGCTCATCCATGTTGAATTTTTCTCGTCACTTTTTATAACTTGTTGCCATTTATTAATCCACGTCATTTGATATTTAGTCTGAATCAAAGGCTTTTCTTGTTTATCTTATTAACAGGCGGTATGTGTTTAATTTTCTTATTTTGTACATGATTAGATAACTTTATACTGTTGATTTTCATACATTTATATCTAGGTGAGATGGGATTTTCATCAGACTCGTTGTATAATTTATAATTTTGCTGAAAATTGCTGTGGTTGGTTTTCATCTTGTATTCCATAACCTTGTCTTATAGAAATTTACCATTAATACACTACTGTTTTGTGTGATACTTCCCATATTAATTCAATTTTCCTGTTGAAGCAGAGATGCTTCTGTCATTTTGGGACAAATATATCGTATACAGAATTATTAACATTTATTTAGCACAATCATTAAAACCTTTGACATTTTTCGTGAGGTAAGCAAATATTAATTTGTATTACATTTAACATTATTTAATATTTATTATTATACCTTTTTAATCTAAATATTTGTTTTATTTTGGCACTTTGTACTTTATAGGCACAATGATCTTTCTTTATGTTTATCACAGATTCTCTCACGCATGCAATATGGTATGGTTTGTGATGATAGTTTGCATCCCATATATTTTAAACAGACAACTTATAAAAAGTTCTAAAATTCGGAGCATTACAACCTCAAAATGTTTTGGGGTTCGAGTTTGACTCGAATGGCTAGATCAGTGCTTTACATATTCAATTGAAACAGGTACAAGACCCGAGACGAATTGGTCCTGAAATGGGTTATCAAATAATGATCAGTATCATATTTTCATTTTCAAATTTTAACTAATGCCGCCGTTTTCGTAGCATTTTTAGTTAGAGTTAAAAAATAACCTATCATTTCTATCGTATATCATATATTATTTCTAAAATAGAAGGGCGAAAAATAAGATTTTAAAGAGGGCACATAGAAATGTAGTTATGCCATTGATACAAGTATTAAAATTCAATTCGCTTATTGTAATCAGAGTTTGATTATAGTTATCATCTACAGGTGAATATGCATTTTTAATTGTTTTCCGGTTCAACGTTTGATTGATAACAGTACTTTTTCTGAACAGTGGTGTAACCCCATGTACTTCTCGTGGTTATCTTTACGTGTTAATACTTAATTTTTAAACCAGTTAAACCAGTTTTCTATAAATGTTTTCTTGGCTGGTATCTCTTTTGGCACATCTCCCGTGTATTGGTTTTGCAAAAATTATATTGCAAATTAATTATAATATCAAAGATTTATTTATTACAATGATACTTTTTGAAATATTATCGAGTAATCTATACATACAAATTAATCATATATTTATACTAATATCAACTATTTATGCATTTTTACATTTCTTTAGAGAACGATGAAGAAAAGAGGGATAGTAAAAGAAGCAGTTTGCCCCTATTTCCCACGTCGCTTTGTACTTACTAATGCTCACGTAGTATTTAATTTAATAGATGTATGTATAAGACATAAAATTATTACCATTATTAATAAACAATAATCTGAATATAGTATGTAGTTTAATCTTTATACTTATATAATTACTTATAGAATAAGGAGCAATTATTTTATTGTGACATCGTCACAATGCCGGGCTGCAATATTTAATCATAACTTTAATTTATTTAATTTAAAATTCTGCCGTTTATCTGTTAATTCTTTTCGGGGAAAACGTTTTGAATTATAATACCGGAACTTTCCGTTTCCATCGGAAGTTCGTATATAGTTAATCGGGGCCTCTGCGCCTAATGTTTTTATATCTATTCTCAAAATTCATACATCTAACTGCGTTCTCGAGATTCAAGAATGACAGATAGATGAAAAGACGTTTGTGGGAATTTATAGGTCTACAAATTTTTCAAATTGCAGCCCCATGAAACACTTGTTCTAAAATAATGGAGAGACTTAAACATTTGAGTAATTAGTGATTTTATTTATTATTATAAGCAATATGTGCACTTTGTTTATTGTTTTATTCGTAAACTCTCTCTGGCATTGTTTTAATAAGAGTTTTTTCTCTTCATCTATGATTTTGCGCCAAGCATCAGATATTGCTATTTTTAATCATTCCACTGATGTATATTGCTTTTACTCTTATATACATTCCTTTGTAAGATATCAGAAAACACTCCCAAGTTGATTTTGTCATATGAATGGCTGCATTATCGAAATTAGAAAAACTTTCCTCCGAATGTTTCTGCAAATAGCATCAGATGCATATGTAATACTGTACTTGCTAATATCGTGCAGAATTAATAAGACAAGATAATAGTTAGATTTGTCATAACACCACATTGTAACACTTCCAACACCTTTCTGCTTTTTTGAGTGATTTAACAAGAAAATGAAGCTTAGTCAAAAAGAATAAATCGAAATAAAATACACCAAAACAAATACAAAAAATAAAGATTAAATTAATGGTACATATTTAAATGATATAGGATGATAATATTTTTGTAACTAATTTAAATATAAAAAGTAAATATATTTTACTTTGTTACTGACTACGAGATAAAATTCAAACTAATTTATTATCATTTACTAGCTTAACAGTAATTTAAATGACAATTTTTGTAAATATGTAAGGTTAAGAATTTATTTTTCCTAGCCTTATTGCTTTTTTGCTTTACGTCTAATTTATTTTAATTTCATATAATAAGTATTTATTATTTTTTTTGTATCGTGCCAATAGCTTCTTCAGCGGTCTGGCTCATCCATGTTGAATTTTTCTCGTCACTTTTTATAACTTGTTGCCATTTATTAATCCACGTCATTTGATATTTAGTCTGAATCAAAGGCTTTTCTTGTTTATCTTATTAACAGGCGGTATGTGTTTAATTTTCTTATTTTGTACATGATTAGATAACTTTATACTGTTGATTTTCATACATTTATATCTAGGTGAGATGGGATTTTCATCAGACTCGTTGTATAATTTATAATTTTGCTGAAAATTGCTGTGGTTGGTTTTCATCTTGTATTCCATAACCTTGTCTTATAGAAATTTACCATTATTTGTGTGATACTTCCCATATTAATTCAATTTTCCTGTTGAAGCAGAGATGCTTCTGTCATTTTGGGACAAATATATCGTATACAGAATTATTAAAATTTATTTACCCTTATATTTTTAGAGATTTTTAATAAAATTATCATTACATAATATACTAAACTAATAATAAATTCTCTTGTATTGTTCTGTAATGTTCATTACAATCAAATACAAAAGAAAAAAATAACTGTTCATGTGTCAAAAAGGCACAAGAAACTTAAACCAATTGGGCCAAGAGGTAACTAATTATATATTAATTATGAAGCTCTATATTCATGCAATAGTGATATTAAAAGGCTTTGGATGTGCATGAGTATCAGTTTCACAATGTACTTCTAAATTACTTACTAATATCATTATTTCACAGTAGTAGTATTATTTTGGAACTGATTATATTTGCAAAATTCACAACCGGGTTATGCTCGTGATTTGAAAAATATTTATTTTGTTTTCCTTATCTTACATGGTAAGAGAAATGAGGAAGATGCAAGATAAATAACACTGTAAGGAATAAAAAAGTTACATTGACGAATAACAGAATCAACATAAATTTTATATTTGAAAAAGATACAAAATTATAAACAAAAATATATAATAATATAATATGAAATTTTATTTATTTTTAGGGTATATACCGCTTTATTCCGGAAAAGGCTACTACTTTGAGTAATTCTTCTTTAATTTCTTTATTTGGACGAATTCTGGAGGACGATAACGAATTTAAAAAGAGAAGAAGAGAACGTTATAGTACAAGTCGTTCGACCATTCAAGCAGTTTATGGTCTTGCATATCTCTTTTATGTAAGTATTCGTATATCTAGAAATTACATTTATTTTAGGAACTTGAAGAGAAAAAAAATGGGCCTAGGTTAGTTATAATGTTAAACAAACAAGATTGCACTTATTGTATTTGATTTATTCTTGTATAATAGGTATCCTTTTAGATTACATTTCAAGAGATTTTTCCATATGATATTTAAAAAAAAAATCGAATAATCTGTTTGAAAATAGCGAAATTACCGAAAAACATCCAAAATATTTCACGCGAATTAATATTAAATATATATATATTCTACCTGGTGTCCCGTACCTTACGCACCACAGGCTTATGATGTGTTAACTCTCTGTCACTGTGTTGGTCGATCTAATGATCAGCCAGCAAAAGATGACAACATTGCTTTGAAACAAAACCCCGTTACATTATGAAGAATACGTTGCATGACTTATGGGGTATCCTGCATAATTATTATTTATACGTTACAGTTTACACAATTCTCCTTTATTTGTGTATTTACTTTGACAACAAAAGTTTTGATCACTACCGCGAAAGACAAGTTGCCAGAAACCAATCTGTGAATNGCTGGTATCTCTTTTGGCACATCTCCCGTGTATTGGTTTTGCAAAAATTATATTGCAAATTAATTATAATATCAAAGATTTATTTATTACAATGATACTTTTTGAAATATTATCGAGTAATCTATACATACAAATTAATCATATATTTATACTAATATCAACTATTTATGCATTTTTACATTTCTTTAGAGAACGATGAAGAAAAGAGGGATAGTAAAAGAAGCAGTTTGCCCCTATTTCCCACGTCGCTTTGTACTTACTAATGCTCACGTAGTATTTAATTTAATAGATGTATGTATAAGACATAAAATTATTACCATTATTAATAAACAATAATCTGAATATAGTATGTAGTTTAATCTTTATACTTATATAATTACTTATAGAATAAGGAGCAATTATTTTATTGTGACATCGTCACAATGCCGGGCTGCAATATTTAATCATAACTTTAATTTATTTAATTTAAAATTCTGCCGTTTATCTGTTAATTCTTTTCGGGGAAAACGTTTTGAATTATAATACCGGAACTTTCCGTTTCCATCGGAAGTTCGTATATAGTTAATCGGGGCCTCTGCGCCTAATGTTTTTATATCTATTCTCAAAATTCATACATCTAACTGCGTTCTCGAGATTCAAGAATGACAGATAGATGAAAAGACGTTTGTGGGAATTTATAGGTCTACAAATTTTTCAAATTGCAGCCCCATGAAACACTTGTTCTAAAATAATGGAGAGACTTAAACATTTGAGTAATTAGTGATTTTATTTATTATTATAAGCAATATGTGCACTTTGTTTATTGTTTTATTCGTAAACTCTCTCTGGCATTGTTTTAATAAGAGTTTTTTCTCTTCATCTATGATTTTGCGCCAAGCATCAGATATTGCTATTTTTAATCATTCCACTGATGTATATTGCTTTTACTCTTATATACATTCCTTTGTAAGATATCAGAAAACACTCCCAAGTTGATTTTGTCATATGAATGGCTGCATTATCGAAATTAGAAAAACTTTCCTCCGAATGTTTCTGCAAATAGCATCAGATGCATATGTAATACTGTACTTGCTAATATCGTGCAGAATTAATAAGACAAGATAATAGTTAGATTTGTCATAACACCACATTGTAACACTTCCAACACCTTTCTGCTTTTTTGAGTGATTTAACAAGAAAATGAAGCTTAGTAAAAAAGAATAAATCGAAATAAAATACACCAAAACAAATACAAAAAATAAAGATTAAATTAATGGTACATATTTAAATGATATAGGATGATAATATTTTTGTAACTAATTTAAATATAAAAAGTAAATATATTTTACTTTGTTACTGACTACGAGATAAAATTCAAACTAATTTATTATCATTTACTAGCTTAACAGTAATTTAAATGACAATTTTTGTAAATATGTAAGGTTAAGAATTTATTTTTCCTAGCCTTATTGCTTTTTTGCTTTACGTCTAATTTATTTTAATTTCATATAATAAGTATTTATTATTATTATTTTTTTTGTATCGTGCCAATAGCTTCTTCAGCGGTCTGGCTCATCCATGTTGAATTTTTCTCGTCACTTTTTATAACTTGTTGCCATTTATTAATCCACGTCATTTGATATTTAGTCTGAATCAAAGGCTTTTCTTGTTTATCTTATTAACAGGCGGTATGTGTTTAATTTTCTTATTTTGTACATGATTAGATAACTTTATACTGTTGATTTTCATACATTTATATCTAGGTGAGATGGGATTTTCATCAGACTCGTTGTATAATTTATAATTTTGCTGAAAATTGCTGTGGTTGGTTTTCATCTTGTATTCCATAACCTTGTCTTATAGAAATTTACCATTAATACACTACTGTTTTGTGTGATACTTCCCATATTAATTCAATTTTCCTGTTGAAGCAGAGATGCTTCTGTCATTTTGGGACAAATATATCGTATACAGAATTATTAAAATTTATTTACCCTTATATTTTTAGAGATTTTTAATAAAATTATCATTACATAATATACTAAACTAATAATAAATTCTCTTGTATTGTTCTGTAATGTTCATTACAATCAAATACAAAAGAAAAAAATAACTGTTCATGTGTCAAAAAGGCACAAGAAACTTAAACCAATTGGGCCAAGAGGTAACTAATTATATATTAATTATGAAGCTCTATATTCATGCAATAGTGATATTAAAAGGCTTTGGATGTGCATGAGTATCAGTTTCACAATGTACTTCTAAATTACTTACTAATATCATTATTTCACAGTAGTAGTATTATTTTGGAACTGATTATATTTGCAAAATTCACAACCGGGTTATGCTCGTGATTTGAAAAATATTTATTTTGTTTTCCTTATCTTACATGGTAAGAGAAATGAGGAAGATGCAAGATAAATAACACTGTAAGGAATAAAAAAGTTACATTGACGAATAACAGAATCAACATAAATTTTATATTTGAAAAAGATACAAAATTATAAACAAAAATATATAATAATATAATATGAAATTTTATTTATTTTTAGGGTATATACCGCTTTATTCCGGAAAAGGCTACTACTTTGAGTAATTCTTCTTTAATTTCTTTATTTGGACGAATTCTGGAGGACGATAACGAATTTAAAAAGAGAAGAAGAGAACGTTATAGTACAAGTCGTTCGACCATTCAAGCAGTTTATGGTCTTGCATATCTCTTTTATGTAAGTATTCGTATATCTAGAAATTACATTTATTTTAGGAACTTGAAGAGAAAAAAAATGGGCCTAGGTTAGTTATAATGTTAAACAAACAAGATTGCACTTATTGTATTTGATTTATTCTTGTATAATAGGTATCCTTTTAGATTACATTTCAAGAGATTTTTCCATATGATATTTAAAAAAAAAATCGAATAATCTGTTTGAAAATAGCGAAATTACCGAAAAACTTCCAAAATATTCACGCGAATTAATATTAAATATATATATATTCTACCGGGTGTCCCGTACCTTACGCACTACAGGCTTATGATGTGTTAACTCTTTGTTACTGTGTTGGTCGATCTAATGATCATCCAGCAAAAGATGACAACATTGCTTTGAAACAAAAACTCGTTACATTATGAAGCATACGTTGCATGACTTATGGGGTATCTTGCATAATTATTATTTATACGTTACAATTTACACAATTCTCCTTTATTTGTGTATTTACTTTGACAACAAAAGTTTTGATCACTACCGCGAAAGACAAGTTGGCAGAAACCAATCTGTGAATCTTCGCAGGATTTGGCAACTGGTTTTTCAGTGAAAAACCTAATTTTTTAATATTAATTTATTTTTATAATAATTAATATTTATTATTTTAAATTATCTTNGATAATTCCGAAGTGAGAAAGAAACTTCAAGAATTTATACAAAAGCACGGTCATAGATGTATTAAAGAGGTATTTATAATTTCTTATTGTCGAATTTTATGATAAGACATAATAAAATATTTCGTTAATTGCAACTGAAATTATTGAAAAATATTTTGATATTTTTATTTAGAGATCAATTATATGAATCGCGAAATGCAACTAAGTATCTGTTTATTCAATATTTTCCATACTCTGTATTTGATGTGAAGAATTTCAATTACTATTTATGTAGGAAATAGAACAATAAAGAAAGGTATATTACAATTATGATTCAATCGTCTGCAACATAGGTAAAAACCCTCTTAAGTTAATTCTTGCATTCGTCTTCTAAAAGTTCTGTCTTTCACGATCGTCTTTTGCTGCCTGTTTCAACCATCGTCCATTTTTTATTTGTCATTTAATCGTCTGCCACTCTTCTGCACCCCTTGTTTATTTTTTTAGCAGGTTAGGAATTTTACTCATCTAATCCTCACATTTACTCATATCTATCATGGATTGGGCCAGGTCCAAAATGCCAGTGATGGAATAAGAAAGAGTGAAATCCAAGTTAAACCTTTTTTTTTTTTTTAATTTTCTGAGAAACTCAACCACTTCAACTCCAGTCTTTACCTAGTACATTATGATCTATTCAAGAATTGCTTTTATATATGCCGTTATAATTCCTTTTTTCAACTAGCATATTATCAAATTTTATATTTAGTTTTATTATTAAGAAAATATGATTTAATTTTAAAGCAGAATTTCTTTTTTTAGGTTTTTAATGTTCACATCATGTGTACTGTCAATTCGTCTACCTGGAATTCGGCAGTTTTATCCCACCTCGTTAAAGCTCAGAATGGTAATAATATTTCTGTATAAAATTTTAATATGTTTATTTTTGTCAGACCCACAGTAGTGCCGCAGAGCTGATAATATTTTCGTTTGTGAATCGATCAGAGTCAATTCAGTAATTTCTGCGGTTCGACTTTAGCAAGATTTTTAGGACGGGAGGTTAATGTATTCACTACGTAAACCTTCAAGCAAATTCTTATTACTAGTAGATAAAGCAAGTGAACACTGGGGTTGATTTTACAGGTTAGCACCTGACCGACGAGCTGCAGCATAAATTTTCCCGTATTATTTTTACACTTAAAAACGGCCAGTATCCAATGGAAGGTTCTCTCGAGAGATACCTCTTGAAAATTATATTTTGCCATTTTGCTTATTGAAAAAATAAAACATGTATATAATTCAGAAAAATTACATTTTAGTAAAATTACTTTTATTTCTATATTTAGGTTGGACAACCGAAGTTTATGCTGATTTTGCATTTCTTACATCCAACATAAGTTCCATAGAAAGCGCATCTGTTCCTGCAGCAATGGATGTAAAAACATATTTAATACTGTTATTATTATTATTTTATTTGAACGAAATTTTTCAAAAAGGTTTTATTTTTTATAAAGGAAATAAATTCAATTTCGTTATCAGTTATTTATTTTGATGTATTTGCAAAATTGAAAAAGAATTCTTGATTTCAGGAATTGGCATTACTTATATCACAACATATAGGAACAAAGGAATTTCGAGAAATGGAAATAAATGTAAGAATTTGAAATATATATTTACTTCTAATAGAATTTATGTTTATATTATAGTCTTGTCGTGTAGTCCCTTCTGTAGTTTTATGGGTACGAAAGTCCTTATAATACCTGTAACGGCTGAATCTATGTTTACATTGTGGTTGGCTCAGTGGTGAAGGAAGAGGTTCGACCTATTTAGAATAGACTTTCACGAATGATTTCTAATGCTGGTCGTGTGTGGATTCGATTCTGGGTTTCCTAGAGCAAAAATAAGTTAGCTAGGAAACAGAAACTATTACAAGAAGTTAAGCAAGGTTAGGGAAACCTTGCTTAGAGTTTTTTGTACAAGCACAGCAATATACAGGAGGCCTCGAAAATGCTGCGTTGATGTCAGAGTTGCACTCAGAGATTAAGGGAGGTCTAGGCCGATAATATATTGTGGGCTTCATTAATAAAAGTTTTTAATTGAAGAATTATATTAGAAAATAACTATATTTTAAAACTAATTTTTCAGAAAGTTACTTCCTGGTTAAACGATAATTCCGAAGTGAGAAAGAAACTTCAAGAATTTATACAAAAGCACGGTCATAGATGTATTAAAGAGGTAACATTTATAATTTCTTATTGTCGAATTTTATGATAAGACATAATAAAATATTTCGTTAATTGCAACTGAAATTATTGAAAAATATTTTGATATTTTTATTTAGAGATCAATTATATGAATCGCGAAATGCAACTAAGTATCTGTTTATTCAATATTTTCCATACTCTGTATTTGATGTGAAGAATTTCAATTACTATTTATGTAGGAAATAGAACAATAAAGAAAGGTATATTACAATTATGATTCAATCGTCTGCAACATAGGTAAAAACCCTCTTAAGTTAATTCTTGCATTCGTCTTCTAAAAGTTCTGTCTTTCACGATCGTCTTTTGCTGCCTGTTTCAACCATCGTCCATTTTTTATTTGTCATTTAATCGTCTGCCACTCTTCTGCACCCCTTGTTTATTTTTTTAGCAGGTTAGGAATTTTACTCATCTAATCCTCACATTTACTCATATCTATCATGGATTGGGCCAGGTCCAAAATGCCAGTGATGGAATAAGAAAGAGTGAAATCCAAGTTAAACCTTTTTTTTTTTTTTAATTTTCTGAGAAACTCAACCACTTCAACTCCAGTCTTTACCTAGTACATTATGATCTATTCAAGAATTGCTTTTATATATGCCGTTATAATTCCTTTTTTCAACTAGCATATTATCAAATTTTATATTTAGTTTTATTATTAAGAAAATATGATTTAATTTTAAAGCAGAATTTCTTTTTTTAGGTTTTTAATGTTCACATCATGTGTACTGTCAATTCGTCTACCTGGAATTCGGCAGTTTTATCCCACCTCGTTAAAGCTCAGAATGGTAATAATATTTCTGTATAAAATTTTAATATGTTTATTTTTGTCAGACCCACAGTAGTGCCGCAGAGCTGATAATATTTTCGTTTGTGAATCGATCAGAGTCAATTCAGTAATTTCTGCGGTTCGACTTTAGCAAGATTTTTAGGACGGGAGGTTAATGTATTCACTACGTAAACCTTCAAGCAAATTCTTATTACTAGTAGATAAAGCAAGTGAACACTGGGGTTGGTTTTACAGGTTAGCACCTGACCGACGAGCTGCAGCATAAATTTTCCCGTATTGTTTTTACACTTAAAAACGGCCAGTATCCATTGGAAGGTTCTCTCGAGAGATACCTCTTGAAAATTATATTTTGCCATTTTGCTTATTNCAACTTTTATATTTAATTTTATTATTAAGAAAATATGATTTTATTTTAAAGCAGAATTTATTTTTTTAGGTTTTTAATGTTCACATCATGTGTACTGTCAATTCGTCTACCTGGAATTCGGCAGTTTTATCCCACCTCGTTAAAGCTCAGAATGGTAATAATATTTCTGTATAAAATTTTAATATGTTTATTTTTGTCAGACCCACAGTAGTGCCGCAGAGCTGATAATATTTTCGTTTGTGAATCGATCAGAGTCAATTCAGTAATTTCTGCGGTTCGACTTTAGCAAGATTTTTAGGACGGGAGGTTAATGTATTCACTACGTAAACCTTCAAGCAAACTTATTACTAGTAGATAAAGCAAGTGAACACTGGGGTTGATTTTACAGGTTAGCACCTGACCGACGAGCTGCAGCATAAATTTTCCCGTATTATTTTTACACTTAAAAACGGCCAGTATCCAATGGAAGGTTCTCTCGAGAGATACCTCTTGAAAATTATATTTTGCCATTTTGCTTATTGAAAAAATAAAACATGTATATAATTCAGAAAAATTACATTTTAGTAAAATTACTTTTATTTCTATATTTAGGTTGGACAACCGAAGTTTATGCTGATTTTGCATTTCTTACATCCAACATAAGTTCCATAGAAAGCATCTGTTCCTGCAGCAATGGATGTAAAAACATATTTAATACTGTTATTATTATTATTTTATTTGAACGAAATTTTTCAAAAAGGTTTTATTTTTTATAAAGGAAATAAATTCAATTTCGTTATCAGTTATTTATTTTGATGTATTTGCAAAATTGAAAAAGAATTCTTGATTTCAGGAATTGGCATTACTTATATCACAACATATAGGAACAAAGGAATTTCGAGAAATGGAAATAAATGTAAGAATTTGAAATATATATTTACTTCTAATAGAATTTATGTTTATATTATAGTCTTGTCGTGTAGTCCCTTCTGTAGTTTTATGGGTACGAAAGTCCTTATAATACCTGTAACGGCTGAATCTATGTTTACATTGTGGTTGGCTCAGTGGTGAAGGAAGAGGTTCGACCTATTTAGAATAGACTTTCACGAATGATTTCTAATGCTGGTCGTGTGTGGATTCGATTCTGGGTTTCCTAGAGCAAAAATAAGTTAGCTAGGAAACAGAAACTATTACAAGAAGTTAAGCAAGGTTAGGGAAACCTTGCTTAGAGTTTTTTGTACAAGCACAGCAATATACAGGAGGCCTCGAAAATGCTGCGTTGATGTCAGAGTTGCACTCAGAGATTAAGGGAGGTCTAGGCCGATAATATATTGTGGGCTTCATTAATAAAAGTTTTTAATTGAAGAATTATATTAGAAAATAACTATATTTTAAAACTAATTTTTCAGAAAGTTACTTCCTGGTTAAACGATAATTCCGAAGTGAGAAAGAAACTTCAAGAATTTATACAAAAGCACGGTCATAGATGTATTAAAGAGGTATTTATAATTTCTTATTGTCGAATTTTATGATAAGACATAATAAAATATTTCGTTAATTGCAACTGAAATTATTGAAAAATATTTTGATATTTTTATTTAGAGATCAATTATATGAATCGCGAAATGCAACTAAGTATCTGTTTATTCAATATTTTCCATACTCTGTATTTGATGTGAAGAATTTCAATTACTATTTATGTAGGAAATAGAACAATAAAGAAAGGTATATTACAATTATGATTCAATCGTCTGCAACATAGGTAAAAACCCTCTTAAGTTAATTCTTGCATTCGTCTTCTAAAAGTTCTGTCTTTCACGATCGTCTTTTGCTGCCTGTTTCAACCATCGTCCATTTTTTATTTGTCATTTAATCGTCTGCCACTCTTCTGCACCCCTTGTTTATTTTTTTAGCAGGTTAGGAATTTTACTCATCTAATCCTCACATTTACTCATATCTATCATGGATTGGGCCAGGTCCAAAATGCCAGTGATGGAATAAGAAAGAGTGAAATCCAAGTTAAACCTTTTTTTTTTTTTAATTTCTGAGAAACTCAACCACTTCAACTCCAGTCTTTACCTGCAATAGTCTATCAGGTGTGGTCTCTTAAAAAAACACGCGAATTATAAGATGGCCGAAACCTAATCAATGAGAAAATTTTACTTATATTAGGAAATATTAAAATGTTACATTCTTTAGATGCTTTATTTTATTTTACTCGATTGAATTACACAATTTTTGATTGTTCGAGAAAAGTCTGATCTAGAAACTTAGTTAATATCATAATACACATGAGATGCCAGAGCTTATGAAATATCATATGACTTTTTGTGACCCACACCTCAGATTGGAATCTTAGAAATTTTGTGTGGTTGTACAATAGCTCGGAAATTGGGATATGAGTCTCATACATTATGCTGAGTTTCTCAGCTTCTAGTCTCTAAACTGTGACCTGATAAAAACTATGATTGGTCTTGCATATAAGAATAAAGTAAATTTTGATTGTAGATAAATTTATTAAATTTAAAGACTTCAAACTGTTTTTATCAGTAAAAATTTCATCGAAAATTGTTAACAAGTATATTACAAATAATAATTGTACCGTGTTTCCCCGAAAATAAGACAGTGTCTTATATTAATTTTTTCTCTGAAAAATGCGCTAGGTCTTATTTTCAGGGAATGTCTTATTTTTTCCAGGAAGAAAAATTCACATTTATTATTGAACAAAAATATTCCCAAGTCGAACTTAGACGAGAGTGACGTATATCCGGTGTGTCGAACTGTCGCCTTTTTATAGCGTCAACATCGGACTCGATGACCAATTAGTGCTTACTGAACCGTAGCACTATGCAAATGTCATGTGGCGTGATTCCCGGCCGACCAATTAGCCATCACCAGCCATAAAGTTATGCAAATCTGTGATTCCCAAGCCATAGTCTTATGCAAATCATGGCGTAATTGTCTGCTGACCAATCAGTGGCTGTACTTGCAAAAAGCCAACGGCCACTTTCAACCATCTGTCTATGACCGTTACGACTAAAAAAACTTCGCTAGGTCTTACTTTCAGGGGGAGGTCTTATATTTCGCAATTCAGCAAAACCTGTGCTAGGTCTTATTTTCTGCGGATGTGTCTTATTTTCGGGGAAACACGGTAGTAATAGATTAAATTACAGAATATACGACATATAAAAGTATTTTCTTATTATGTATCTAGTTTGACATCTATTCTAAAACCTGGAAGATGGATCCTTTACCATTAATTAAGACATTACAAGTATGTAAATTCCAGAAACATAATGTATTTCATATAAATACGTAGGAGAGTAAATATTTAGTGTGTTTCGATCGAAATACGAAAAGTATATTTTGTCGCATTTCGATATAAATATAGATAAATAATATATTAGCTAGAGGTTATTTCTATTCAATAGATTTAATAAAATATTAAGATATTTAACAGTAAATGGAAAAATTATTAAAATAACTTTATTTGTAATAGAATTTAATGGGAAAGACAATAAAACAGAAAGAAGGTGAAATGGATATCGAATTATTATTGAATAAAATTAAATCGCATTTAACCACAGGTCAAAAGTAAGTATTTCAGTTTAATTCAATATAAACATTAATATTTTTATAGCATTTCTTTCTTATATTTTAACATTAGATGAGTGAGAAGTCCCTTGCATCTTTCTTATTCAGAAATACGGAAAATAACTCGTATATTAATTTGTTTAATGTAGTTACATGAAAGTCGCGTATTGATAATTAGACAGTACCTTTTACTTACGTTTAAACATTAAACGAGGAAATTTAATGTAAATATTCTAATAACAAAATTAGAGAGGACCATTTAATTAGTCTAATGCGATTTTTTAGATTCAAATAAACACTTTAAGTCTGTGTACTTTGCAACAGAGCAAAAGTGATTTTGTTTTTCATGACGTTGATGATCATTTTCAAGATAAAAAAAAAGGGTATGCCAAAGACATTTGACTCAATCCGTAAAAAAATCCTGAAACGAGTTGCTTAACTTTCTTGGCAACATTTAAAATCCCGTGCGTGGCACCATCTTTTACGATATTTTATTATTAATGTGTTTTTACATTAAAGGTTCATAAATATACAATTTTTATTTTATAAATTAACAGACGAATACTTCGATTTGTGCTGCCAAGATGTCGAAAAGCAGTCGCATACAGAGAAGCAAGTAAAGTAAGATATATTTCATTAACTATCGGCTATTGTTAAAAACTGTAAAGAATTGAAAGCAATTGTTTCTAGTTGCCTCCATGATGTTCAGTCATAAAATCGATGTAAAACAATTGCAAAAGTGTACTACGAAGCTATAAGTAGCAATATTTGCAGGATATAATTATTCACTTTTATTATAAAAGTACAAATGTTTTTGTTTTTGGTTTGAATACGGTAAAGTGACACTTCGCCGTTTTTCATAGAAGGATGTGTCCTAGAGGAATTTCTATGGAAATGTGGACAATTGTAGGTGTTAGACACGTGCTATGAATCGTTGAGAATTTTGCGTGGCCGACACATAGGCTAAGTGCAAATCCTTGACAAACTACCAGTGTTCAGTGGTTATAATCACTTGGCTACTGGTGGTCTTGAAGACATAAAGTCCCAAAACATGTTCTGTAATAAATATTATATAAATATATTATTTGTTTTAACTATCGGTAACGGAAGATCAAGAGTTTCAAATCAGAAAAACTTGAAAATTCTATTTCTACATAAAGTCACTCCATCTGACATTTTATAAAAATATATAGACTGTGTGTGAGTTCTTGCAAAACCAGTAACGAGCACTTTTTTATGAGTTTGGCATGGTTAAAATGGAGAGAAAACCCTAGTACTACATATGTGGAACATGACAAATTTTTCAGGTTTTCAACCCGGGATCAAGCTCTGGTCTGTCAAAGCAGCAATCTTAACTGGATCCCATACAATAAAGGCATCATTATTTCGGTCTATGTGCTTAAATAGAGCCTGTATTCTTGCTCATTGAGAGTATAGAGAAATTAACAATGGAAACGGTTTCTGGGCAAATTACCCCTGAAAATTTCTTAGTTGCGATGTACTCTCGAACACGGTCGCTTATGGTGACAAGCTGAAAGCGGTTTATTATGAAGATTTTTTAATATAATCCAATTTTTCTGTTTACAGTCGCTTCTAATCAAAGTAATCAATTCGTTTCGAGAAACATTTTATTATATGGGACAAGTGATGGTAGAGGAAGGAAGGTTATTTGACAAAGAACACATATTTTTTCTGACACTGGATGAACTAGATATGTTAATAAATACGAGATCTTCAAGAATATTGCACAAGTAAATAAAAGAATGGTTATAACAATAAATGAAATTGAATTGTTAATTAATGAAAACGTTTGCAATTTTATAGAGCAGTAGCCCGTCATAAAATCTACTACGAACTTGACTCTCTGAAACTTCCTGAAATTCAGTTTGGTATTTCCAATCCTTATCGTAACAAGGTAGGTATTATTTCAACAAATATAGTTGTTTGTATAGATTCAAAGTAAAATTAGACTATTTTCGTGCATATTACCTTCAAGATATATGTGTTTTAAAAACAAGTTGAAAGGGGGTATAGGTTTATATACCGATTCTAAATCGCAAATATGGAACATACGCCTATGCAGCAATGGATGATCTATAGTTTCGAGATATACGATGGAGCGGGTTATACCAAGGTTTTATTTTTATTATATCAATTTTCTGCTATTTATAGGTATGAAATGATAAACAAATAATCATAAATGGCAATTTTCCCACGTTCTTCTCGAATATTTTAAAATAATGATTATTTTTCACTCAAAAGTTTTGATTTAATCTTAATTACAGAATGAATGTTTTGTCTGTTTTCTTTTAATTAGTCTTTTATTATTTTATTATTGGAATGACCGCAAAGTATTAAGGATAATACATCCTTTACTTTGTCATAATAAAGTACCAGTAATAATTTACCTCCTTCGATATTATGAATATCTCCTAAGATTTCAGTTGTTTGTTTGAGGTTACGTTGTGAGTTTCATTTATAATTTTTGTATATAATACACTGTTTTATAGTCAGAATACTTACACAAATATACGTATGTAAATAGTACGTATGAAGTTCATAAAAAGAAATTGTGCATGTGGGAACCATAATAAGTGCCTACAAGAGTCGCATGCCGCTCGTGAGCCAGTTTGGCAATCTTGATATATAGTCTGAGTAAATATAATGTATCGTATATCAAAGTGTTTTTTGTCATGAAAACAATACTTATTACTAGCAACATATATCAGAATAAAGAACTGGGAACAAAAATAATTTGATTTAGTTTAGTACAGAGCAAATTAATACCAGGGCAACCTCCTAAAAGGGTTGATTTATGGGAGGACTTTTGTGCAGAAACTGACTCTTACATAGGTGTTAGACACGTAAAAAAAGTCCCTAAACTTCACGTGGTCGGGTAGTTGGGCAGTTGAAAATTCCAGACTATCTTTTTTATCCATTCCTTTATCCATAGTAGAACAGCTTTAAACCAAATTACTGTATACTGAAATGTATCAAATTTTATAAATATAGATTAACTATATTGTCATTTTTTATTAGTTTTCTCCTTTTAATTATTTTTGTTGCTATAAAACAAATACAATTGTATTTTAATAGGCAGTAATTGAAAATAATGGAAATCGAGCATCCGTAATAATGAAAGGTAGGTTAACATATTTTTAAAGAATTTATGATTCTGTTATGATTTAAATTCAAGTTTTTATGACCTTTTTCGTAGGAACTCCTGTTAGTCAAGGAATAGTTAAAGGAAAAGCCAGAGTTATACTTAATATAAAGGAAGCCGATTCTATTTGTGTAATTAAGATTTTAAATTAATTATGTAAGATTAAGAATTAACTAAACAATTTTTTATTGATAAAATTGTCAGATAAACTGAAATTGTTTCACGGACAAAGCATTGAATATTATTAATTTTGTGAAAATTACAGTTGACTCCCCTATAACACTGTTGATAATTCCGTTTTATGTGAATTCCGTGTTGTACGAGTCACTTAAATTTTGCAAATATGTGTGCCGGGCTGTGAACGGCTCACGTATTTGTAAAATCTTTATATACGTGACATTATATGTGGATGGCACAAAACGCGGCTAAATTTCATATCAAACAGCAAATGAATGTGAATTTTTATATTTATTTATTTATTTACAGCAAGGAGAAATACTAATAACGTACAGTACTGATATCGGATGGAGCCCTTATTTTCCTCTTATATCTGGTCTAGTTACAGAACTTGGTGGATTAATATCACATGGCAATTAGCATTCTTATTAGAATTTCTCATTATATTCTTATTTGTATAATGTAAAATGGTATAAATATTTAAATATTTTTTTTTCTTTAGGTGCGGTAGTGGCAAGAGAATATGGTCTTCCTTGCATTGTCGGAGTTCATTCTGCATCAGAAGTATTTCAAACAGGTAACTTTAGCAAAAATCTTTCGAAAATGTTGTTTCCTTATAAATTTTATTGTAACGAATGGTCGTTAGCAGGGCCACATTTACATGCAAGATAAATAACTTACTGCTCAGAGTCTCTCGTTAGAAATATCCCCACAAAGTACTGTAATTATAAGCATAATTTTTTCGTAATTTCTTATAGAGGACGTGGAAAACTAATTCATAGTTTTTAATTAAAATAGCACAGATGTTATGCAATTATGGTAAATTAATTTATCAGCATACTACACTTAACCTCAAAGCATTTAACAGGATTTATAAGTCACTTTGTGAATGTTGTGTCTATAGACGGTATCGATTGTTGTCTACACATTCTCGCAATTTTCCCCTAAAACTTTCCAGGACACTACAGAATTTCAGGGACACTTGTTGCCACTTCATCCCTGATGTGCGCTTCAACATTACAATAGTCCTTCAATTGTTTCCAACGTGAGCCGTTGTGTCGTTCGTTGAAATAGCTTATTTAGAATTCAACATTACATTGGCACGTCTTCAGTTCTGGAAAGATGTGAAACATTTCTACATATCTTGCTAAATTTATTATTGCAATTCCGATTTCTTTGTCTTGGAATAAAATATAGTTGTTACACCACACTACACAATAGCCTTAACACTGTGTACAGTACCGGTTGTTTATGTAACTTAAGTGCGTTCTCATAAAATAAAATGTAGCTTTATAATTTTGTACTAACTGCAAATATTACTAAATTGTTTTTAGTTAAACAGCATGTGTGCTCAAAGCTTCTCTCACCACCCCTACGGTTTCAGTAACAACAGTATTTAAAAGCCGTTAGGTTAATTATTTTGCAACAACTTTTACAAGATTTGATGGTAAAGTCTTTGCAACTAGTCTTTTATTTAATAATTATAACACAAGCAATCACAGAATAATGTAAATATAATACTACGTACTGCTGTCTTCTACTGTTTTAGTAATTGCTCAACTGGTTGAGACATTTGCCCACCGCCTGCTGCATTCCATTGTCATAGAAATCTTCTGCTGCACATCTTTGTATTGTTGCCTGTACTTGATCGTTAATAGTGTGTTTTATATAGGAAATTTTTAAATGTCCAAAAAATTGGTACTTACGAGTATGGCTAGTTTGGAGTATAGTATAAGATGAATGCCGAATAACTGTCTACAATGTATTATGTATGGAGAAATGCCTAATTTATAGAACACGTTCATAAATGTAATTTTAAATCACTTTATAACTCGCTCTATTTCATAACGCTCTTATTTTATTATGTTTTATCTTTAAATATACTAAAACTTTAGAGTGAGATTTAATTATCTTTCTTAAATTCTAATTGGTTTTTAACTCATCATTACCCAGAGCAAACTGGTGAAACTAAAGAGGTGAAATTTGGTAAACAGTTCGGGTACATTATGAAAACACTAAGAAGGGATTTTTCGAAATTCCCCCGCGGGTGGGAGAGGAAGAGCATAAATGCTTAACCTGAAAAACGACTTCTATTGTACTAGTTTAAATGCGATTTTTTGTTTTTAGCTACGTTTAGTCTTAATTGAGTACTTAAGTGTATTAAATTGTAATATTTCAGACTTTGTTATAAATATTATTACATATTTCGATTTTTTAAGCAAATGTTCGAACCGTTTTAAATTCGAATTTGTTATTGCATATTGGTTCGATTAAAGAGCGATTGTAAACGTTCCAGAAAATTTATCAAATTGAAAACAGTTCGTTTGATTATCAGCAATTCTCATCATTCTCATCGGTAGGTGTTCCATAACAATGGTTTTTTTTATAAATTAATTGAAGACAAAGTCACCGAATGGAACGGATGAACAAACAGTAAGATCCACCAGTTCAAATTTTAATTTTATAATTATAATTGAATATTTTTCTGTGTTTTTTAAAGGAATGCTTTTAAACTTGCCAAGCAGCCTAAGAAAAGGTCAGGTCGTCAAAGGATTATGTTCTGAAACACGTGAACTGAATACATGGTGGTTTACCAATTTTTTGACAGTCTGTTTCTTCAATTAATTTATAAAAAAAATTATCATCATCTGACAAAATTCAACAATTACTATGGTTGTTGTTGTAATACTGAATATAAATGGTATTTGCTTGCAAAATCCGCGCGGGTACAATTGCTGGTACAGCTAGTTAATAATATAAAAGTTATTTTTGAACAAAATCTCTTAACACATGACATCACAGACAATTTTAGTTTTGTGCTAGTGTTTTTCGTCAGAAAAACTACGCAACTAAACACTGTATTTTATTTCATCATTTCATTTTTTAGTCACAGACGGAAATTATAATGACTTTTTGTATAAATATATTAGAGATTTTTCTTCACAAAACAGTTACAAAATTTAACTTTTTTCATATTTTAAATGGTCATTCTGGAGATGTAAAATAAAACATTAAGACATTTTTATTTGAAAACTTTTGTATGTCAATTTAAATTCTCACCAAACGTATTTTAAGTCATCATAGTGCATACATATTTGGGCAAATTCCAGTGCAATGCGATTTATAACGTATGAGAAATGGGACTATTTGAAAGCAATACTTTTCAAACATTCCGCTCTGCAAATACTAAAACTAATCTTAACCGAGAATTTTGTACAATTTTCGAAAATGCATTCTCACACAAAAATCAAATGGAACGGTAATTCTGACTTATATTCAGAATTAAAAAATAATAAGAGATTTTAGAAAATATTAATTTTTATTTTTCTACTTACAGGTGACATTGTTCTATTGGATGGAAATTGTGGAATTCTGCAGAAAGTAGCAGAAGATGAAAAATTGTAGAGATGCTCTCCTCCATTTACAATAACCTCCTTCACCTTGCAAATGGTTCTTTCGCCGCAGTTTAAAATGACGATGTCTCCTAAAATGTTTTCGTTTATATTTTAAAAACTTAAATTTTCTGTAATAAATTATTATAAATAAATTCTAACTTGACTTAAAGACTTTAATGGCTCCGTGAACAGCCACCAATGACTGGAAGTCCGAACTCTCGAGCCACTGCAGCTCCTAAACAATAAAATTAATTAAAATAAAAGGATGCTAAAAGCTTCCTAGACAACACGCGAATGACATTATTTTATCGTGTGGAAAGTCCTCCAATTTCAGTCACTATTTTTGTCGAAAAAAGGAAAATAATAGCTCCATCCTGTGTTCGTGTTATATGTGATTAGAATGTCTGCTTGCTAAAATTATGAAGAAATAATTTAAAGCGGTTGTAAAAATGTCGCATGCATCTTTAACCATTATCTTATCGTATTTCAACTGGCTTTTTTTACGTTCATGATTATACCGGCAGGACCTGTGACCATTCCGCAACTGATCGGAATGTCAATTGAAATTCAAAATAAACAATGGAAGTGAGGTAACCATTTGTTATTAAAAAATAATAAAACCTGTTTACCTTTTACAATGGCTTCTGCTTTGCAGGTAATGTCTGAAGATCGTGAATTAATTAATTGTATAAGAAAAATAGCAAAAATATCGGTTGTAAAAATGTCGCAAGCATCTTTAACTATTATCTTATCGTATTTCAACTGGCTTTTTTTACGTTCATGATTATACCGGCAGGACCTGTGACCATGTCCGGACCTGTGCGGATGTCTTTTTTTTACAACCATCAATTCTGCCAAATGCCAGCATGCTTCACTCTGTGCGTCGAACATCTTTGTCACAAACGTCCGAAAAAATAGAGAAATGCTTTCTTTGGTTATACTTTAACATCACAGTAATTTAATTTCGTTAGTTTAGTTCTATAGTGTGCATTACTTTGACTCCCCTGGATACATAATACTACATAATTTTCAATCATGTTGTAAATCGCCTACAGAAAAATTACCATTCTAAAATGTATCGGAATAATAATAATTAAATTAAATAACCATACCAGTTTAATAAAATAACATAAAATTTACAGCAGCAGCAATAATAAACAAACTAAGAAAAGTGTGATTCTTTCGATGTTAAAATGGCTCTTCTCTGTTCTGCAAGTAATTCACACAATTTCTTTTTCTAAATAACGTGTAGAAGTACTCGTATCAACTGAATAAAGCTGAAAAATGCCAAGTATTTAATTAATAACACAATCTTGTGTTCAACGCTCAATAAATAGTAAAACACAGTTTCAGAAAACAAATAAACTTCGAGTGCATTTCGTTAATTTCTAATAAATTTTATATTACTTTCTTGTCATTACTTATATGCTAAACATAACCTCACTAACCTAACATTGTTTTTTCGTGATTTACAGAAAACACTTCACAAAAAATTTAAAAAATTTTTTATACACCAATTTTTGAAATACATTTCTAAAACATTATAGAATAAAACTTTATTTTCTTGATTACGTATTATTTAGAAAAAAATTACATTTCAAATAACAAAAAATCGCAACGTCAAACGCGCCGCTGTTTGATGTACAGAGCTAAATGCCCTTGAGAATAGCTGTTTGTCAATTTTGACTGGTTAATAATATACAGGAGTGCACTCAAGCGATTAAAAAAAGAATCTTTGTCGTGATATGTTATTTAAAAAAAAAATAGAAACAATAATGTATTTGCAGTATTTTTCGATAAATATTTTTAAAATTCAATCTGTTTAAAATAATANGTTAATATGTTGTTTAATATGCTAAGCATAACCTCACAAAACTAACATTCTTTTTTCGTGCTTGACAGAAAAACTCCCACAAAAAATTTTAAAATTTTTAATACACCAACTTTTGAAATACATTTCTAAAACGTTTTAGCATAAAACGTTATTTTCTTTATTACGTATTATTTAGAAACGAATTATATTTCAGATGACAAAAAGTCGCAACGTGATACGAGCCGCTGTTTGGTGTACAGAGCTAAATGCCCTTGAGAACAGCCGTTTGTGAATGTTTTCAGGTTAAAAATATTCTGGAGTGCATTCAAGCGATTAAAAGAACAATCTTTGTCATGAAATGTTATTAAAAGAATAAAAACAATAATGTATTTGCAGTATTTTTCAATGAATATTTTTAAAAATTCATTCTGTTTAAATTAAAAATTCCAACAAAACTTTTATATGAATTTACTGATTTTACATTATAAAATACAGATATAAGAGTATAATATAATTATATTCAGTGACAAGAAATATATTTTTAAAAATAACGTTACACCTGTTACTAAAAGATTTTTAACGTTAACTTGAAATTACCTGTACATAAAAGTTTAGCGTACATGTACGTAAAACATATCATAGATAGTTTAAAATGAAAAACAATTCCAGTAAAATGTTAATGGGCATCATAAATTAAATTTAAGTATCATTCTGGGGTACACGGAATAATGTTCGAATAGTCGAGAATTTTCAGAAATTTTTCAGAAATTAATTGTAGCCAAAAATCTCGGACTTCGTCCTTCGCCAGTGGCCACTCTTTTAGCGCCTGACCGAACCCATTCTCTCTGTAGATGAAGAGGCCCTTTTAGTATTCACAGGAATAGAACAGACTAAACGTGAGCAGATATCAAGAACTATAAAAATAATTTAAGTATTTAACAGTTGTTAACATTTTGACTTTAAATGAGTGCAGGTAGTACAAAAAAATAACTAAAATTTTTATGGAAAATTTATCAAGTTTTATATAGTCTATTTTAAATATAATTTTCGTAATTAAATATTTGACTTTGGTAAAAATATATTTGGTTTACTTAATTTAAAATATACGCTCTTCACTTGAAATTAGTAGTGTCTCGCCCCTATACATCATACTTTTCCTGTTAGAGATACAATCCTGACAGTCATCTAACTGGTTTAAGGAAAATATTTGAATTTAAATATAACGACATTCATTGCAACTAAAACAAACGCTCATGTATGAAACGTAACTGTTAATTAAAGATAAACGATACTGCAATAAATTTAAATTTAACATTGCTGATTTTGCAATTTTCATTTGTATGCAATAACATGAGAGTTAAAAATAAATTTTTAATTTGTTAGTGACAGAGCTTCCCTCGTATAAATATTTGTTTGTCGATCTTACCTTGAAGCGAAGAGCTTCGTTCAGAGTAACGGATTCGAAACAACACTATAGGTGAGTAGCTAAAGTTTTTTTTAAGATTAAATATTATAACAGATGGGGAAACCAAATACTGCCGAGAAAATTAAGCAACTCGTTGATGGAATTTTGTATCTGAAAATACAAACTTATATAATTCTTTTTTAGTTGTAAATTATCTAATATCTGAGTGGTTGATCAGGAATTTGTTTGGAATTAAATACGATCTTTAAAGATCAGGGTGATGGAAACTTTATTTAATTTTATTAAATTACAGTTTAATAAAATTGAATAAAAGCAGTAGTAACTAAATGAAGTAAAATCAACGTTAAATATAGTACAGA